ATATAATGTATATATGTACGTTTACTTGTTACCCCGCGATACAAATACGGCGCATACTACGCGGCGAGAAAACACTTCGCCGCAACCGATACTTTCACTCGGAACAAATCAAGTAAATACGGAGAGAAACGGAAAGAGAGGAAAAGAAGGCAGAAAGGCACACACAGAATTAAAGAACGAAAGACAGATAGCGAAAGAAAAAAATCTAAACCTCCCCCGAAATAGTGGATTCTCGCGAGTGTAGCTCTGGCACACACACGTTTTTATCTCCTTTGCTTCGACGCGTTTTTCTTTTTTTCCTTCTTCTTCTTCACGCTGTTTCTTCACCTTTGGCCACTTCTTTTTTAAACGCCGATTTTCCGTCGTTCACGCTTCGAAAGTGGTCAAGCACCCGCACGCGCGTAAACCACCCTCACGCACGTTCCTGGTCCTCGTCCTCTCTCAACCGTCACATATTAGCGCACCGATACGTCTCATTTCAGATTTTCTCGCGATTGGATACGTACGAAGAGAGAGCAGCGCCCGTCGTTTCACCGTAAGGAACTACACAACTACACTTTCGAACGACCACCTGGTAGGTGGGGTTTACACGAGAACCATCGACCAATCCCGGTTACGTACAGAGGTAGTCTGTGGACGTCGATCCTACCGTCCTCCTGTGGTCTCGGCCAACGATCGACTGGAGCCGCTCGCTCCACTCGTTCTGTTCTTTGTTACTAATGCTGCCATCTGATCCCGGATTTTGTAATATCACGAATAGAAACATGAGATCACCCTCGAAGATATCACTAGGTCACTAATTTCTTTTTATTTGTTGAAAAGTCCCTATGTACCACGCAGACGTAAAATCCGTACGAAATAGCATTGCCATTTCCGCAGCAAGCTTGCGGAAAAACGTGCTTATAAATAACAATGTAATATCTGAAAGAAACTGAAATATCACGTATCGAAAACAATCATGGGGCAAAACCATGGTAATCTATCGGTGTGGTAACACTGATTATAATGTTATGTTATATATG